GGTCTCTTAAAATACTTAAATTGGTTAAGGAGGCACTGCAAGGGGGTAGGACGATTTGAGGAGGAAGCCTGACCCATGTTAGTAAAGACAGGCAAGAAAAGAGAAAATCCTCACAAAAGCCAAATAAGCCAGGGCTAGGATCAGCCTCTGACCTAACGTCCAGTCGGGCGGGGCCCCGGAGGCCAGACCTGAGGAAAGAATCGAACTAAGTAAACTTATGAAGGCTAAAGCAATAGGAGGGTAACAGTACGTTCGGCCGGTCCGGACAGACGGACAATACAGACAGACAAGACAAACTACAGGTGACACAAAACGCTAGCGCACCAGAAAACTGAATACCCGGGGTCAAGTCTGACGTCTCAGACCTTGACCGGACTAGGGAAGGATTGCTGCGTCCAGCCTTCCTCTAGTTCCCTTTAGGGCCCGCCGACAGACAGGTCCAAGCGCAGTCTGACTCATCGGTGAAGCTGCTCCAGATGGCTCGTGCCCAGTTGTTACAGAATTAAACTTTTTTGTCCACCTGCCCTCCTGGGCGAGTCTGCCTGGCGTCCGGGGCTGAGGAACGTCTCTCAGCGGCCATCCCCTGGACGGGCAGGTCTGGGCAGGTCCTCGCCCAAGGCAGCCGGAGTCGCGGGTCTTAGGAGATCTCCCCCGCTGGAGAGATCTCACTGGGGCCTCCAAATGTTATGGCGCGAATGATTCTAAGACCCGCGGAGCCAATTGAGATTAATTATGAGCCTTTATTAGCCAGCCGGCGACTGACTCTCTACCACACAGGGTTAGAGGAGATCAGCCCCAAGCTTCCAGAGGAGGCAGCTTATAAAGCCTCCGACTACATCCTTGAATAAGCAGATTACCAGAAGCAGAAGTTAGCCATTAACATTTTGTACAAAGATAAATGTATCTGGGGAACTCTCAGATCAAGAACTTAGCCATTAACGTTTTGTACAAAGATAAATGTATCCGGGGAACTCAGATCAAACAGGGCCTGGCAGACGGTTTAATCATCTGCACGATGGAATGTTGTGCTTCTCCTGGGGCGGGCGCCTGGAGATGTCACCTCCCTGTAACTGAGTTACTGCTCTCCCTGGGGGCTGGCGCCTGGAGATACCACCTCCCTGTAACTGAAGAATTTCCTCTTTTACATTCCTGGCAGAGAACTCCGAAATCCCTGGAATTTCCGGGGTGAAAGGGGTGTCCCTTGTTGTAATGAGGTGACTCTGGCTGGGTTCCGGGGGTGGGGGCTGGTCACCAGAAAGACGAAGCCATGATCAGAAGCTTGGGACTCTCAGCCGCTCCTTCCATCCTTCAGGACGGGGAGAGGGTCTGGAGCTGAGTTAATGCATGATGCACCTGCACGAGGAAGCCTCCATGAAACTCCCAAAGTGTGGGGTTTGGAGAGCTCCCAGGTCGGCACACCCCAACTCCTTGGAGACTGAAGCCGTCCCACGACTCGCCCTGGGTCCCTCTCCGTGTGGCTCTTCATCTGTGTCCTTTATCACAGCCTTCGTTCTGTGAGAAGCGGGGAAGCTTCAGAGCTGCCCCGAGCTCTGGGAACTGTGCTGGCAGATGATCCAGGCCAAGGATGGTGTGGTGGCAGGAACGGCTGATTTGCAGCCGACTCAGAAGCTGTGGGTAACCTGGGGACCCACTGCTTTCTACTGGCTTCTGAAATTGTAAAAGTGGGAATTCTCCAGTTACAGGGAGGTGACATCTCCAGGCGCCAGCCCCAGGAGAAGCACAACAGTCCGAGATGCAGATGATAAAACTGTCTGCCAGGCCCTGTTTGATCTGAGTTTCCCGGGATACATTTATTTTTGTACAAAATGTTAACGGCTAACTTCTGCTTCTTGTAATGTGCTTATTCAAGGATGTAGTTGGAGGCTTTCGAAGCTGCCTCCTCTGGAAGCTCGGGCCTGATCTCCTCTAGCCCTGTGTGGTAGAGAGTCAGTCGCCGGCGGCTAATGAAGGCTCATAATTCATCTCAATTGGCTCCGTGGGTCTTAGAATCGTTCACGCCATAACAGAATGAGTGGGGCACCATCGTGTGGGACCGAGCCCTTCGCCGGCACCGGCTCTGGCTGGGATCATGGAGACCCGCCTGGGGTCGGGGAAAACACCCTTCACGTCCAGAGTCGGACGTGTCGTGTGGAGAGCGGAGGAGGAACACGGACTTTTTCTTACAGATCCCTGCCCCCTCTAGTTTCACAGGTTTTGGTTAAATCGACTTTCAAGTATTTATGTCGTTAGGGGTACACAAATGACGTTCGCAGCCTTACCTCAGATTGTAGTCACAGTTCCTTTCTCGTGAAACTCTTCTCCTCCTTGAGTTGATGACCACCAAGGTTCGGCTGGACGCCGTGGTCCGGGGGGACCGAAGGGGTTGACCCGTGGCTGAGATGATCAAGTGTCACCCAGCGAAGCAGCAGAGGTGACCGAGGCCTTGGTGGGGTCAGCATCGCTTCTCGGGCCCGGGCCCTTTCTTCCTGTTTTCAGGCTCCCACATTTCAGCTCACGCCCCCCTCCTTCTTGGCTTCCCCCCGACACAAGCTGGCCGTGCCGCAGCCCTCGGTCCCCCCGGCCTGCCCTCTTCCCTGCTGCCCGCCAAATAAGTTCGTGGGATATTTAAATACGAAAGAGGAAAATTATTACATTTCCAGAAATCTGACACAGTCGCGGGGGGCCCCGGAGGCCCTCTCAGATGACCCTTCCAGACACGGGGCGGCGCGGCCAGGAGGCAGGCCGGCCTCTGCCTGCTGTGTTGGTGGGGATCCCAGCACCCTGAGGTGCTTCTGTCAGGATGACCTCCGTCTGGCCCTTCTGGACGAGAAAGGAACCTCCCCAGCAGGCTTCCTAGTGCCATTGCTATTTAATCCTCTGTGAACTTGGTCCGTCCTGAAGACTTGGCCCCAGAGGTGATTTCTGGAGGCTCCAGACTGCCCATTTCCGTGCTCCTTCACACTCTGCCCAGGTTGGCTTCCCTCATTTTCTTGACCTTCTCCTGAGCTAAGGGCCAGGGGGCGGGCTGGGCAGGAGCAGCTGTGCTCAGTGGAGAGTGACGGGCAAAAGTGGGGTGCTCAGAGGGGGTGGTCCTGGCTCTGCTCCACTCAGGAGCCCCTGATGGAACGCGGGCCTGGTGTCAGTCCTTCTGATTGTCCAAGGACAGGCAGCAGGAACCCAGAGCTTTATAAGAAACCTTCTGACTTTTAAATGTTATGACTGATTATAAAAATATTGTAAGAGCCAAACCTACATCTCTGCCTGGATCTCGCCCTGCGGGCTGCCGGCCCACAAGGCGGTCCTCAGCTCATCCCTGCTGCTTATCTGCCCCAGATCTCGCTCGTCTCAGCCCGCCCCCCCCCCACCATCAGCCGTCTTTTCCTAGTTCCCTCTGGGAGAGACCTGCCTGAGGTTCATTTTACACCCTAGATACCTGCCCACAGTGAGGCCCTTGGAAAGGGTGAAACTGTCCCGTGTCAAAATCGGTGAGTCAGCTGACTCGACTCTCTTCAGAGTTTTTGCTTTGCCCAGTGGAGAGTGACGGGCAAAAGTGGGGTGCTCAG